CAAGATTACAGACTCTTTCTTCTTGGACTTTCTCTCTCCAGAAATCACAGTCTCTCAATCTCTCTCTAAGTCCTTTTTCTTTCTGTTACAATCTAGAAGAATTTTACACTGTACGCTTAGTAATATACACCTAAGCTCACCGACTAGACCACTTGTAACAATAAGACTATTCCATTGAATCTTGTACACTCAATGCTCCACGTCATCCACTCAAGACCCCTTAATCCACGGCCACAGATGCTTTTAACATGAAGTATTCTGTGTAACATGATAATTATTCTGAAACTCTTGTGTGAGCGCTCGTTCTGAAATTGACACCACCTCCAACAATGTGCATTCACTTGCATTAAGATATTCCAGACTTAACTGAAGCACTTGTATATTAGTGTCCTCTCACAAGTATGCAACTCATCGATATTAGTTGGAAGCTCTGGAAGCTTCTGGAGATTTGAGCAGTATTGTAATTGAAGAAATTTTTAAGGAGTTCAGGTTATTCACACCGTTAAGATTTGTTAGTCTTTCACACTTATTGAGATACAATTTAGAAAGATTTTGGAGAGAATCACTTGATAAAGTCAAGTCCTTTATTGCGGTAATAACTTAAATCTAAAGACACGAGACTCCTAGTTGTAATCATTAATGGAAGAGTGTTGAGATTGGAACAACCTTCAAGAGTAAGAGTTGCCGCATCAAATATTATATCTGGAACACTCTAAAGTTTCTTGCAAATTCTCAAATTGATAGCAACAAGGTTGAAGCAAACTTTTGCACCACACAAGATTTATCCGCTCAAGGTCTGGTGAAGTAGAGACATCTAGAATTCGACTCAGGTGTGGAGAGTGACTTAGATCAAGGCCTCTTAACTTCTTAAGAACCTGTAACATAAAGAAATGACAAGTTTTACGAGACTATACTTTATAAATCTGGATAAATAAAACAAATTGAAGGTATATATACCTGGTCTTTATTCCAAAGTTGATCAAGTTGACTAAAATTAAAGGCATCTTCAGTTCAACAAGATTCTTCAGCTTAAAGTTTGGTGGTCAAGATATCTAAGCGAATTGGGAAGATAATTTAGACCATTTTGAAGGTACACTTTGGCTTTATTGAAAGGAAAGCTATTAGAGATTTTGAGCGATCTCACATTAGGCATCTTTTCAAAAATTGTAGGTTCCAAGTGTATGTCATCATCAATTGTGGACAAATCTGGGAATATTCCTTGAATATTTGCAGTTCCCTGAAAAAAAAAAGCATATAGTATATATCAACATATAGATGACGTGGAATAAATTACTAAAGTCCCATTACATGTATAGGCATAAAGAATTTAATGATCATCATAAAATAAGTACTAACAATATATAGATATAAAGAATTTAATGGTCATTAAAATAAATACTAGCAAAGTGTTGCATATCAACGAAACATGCATCTAAATTAACTATCAAGTTTTATTTTTGAGGTTGCATTTTGTCCATTAGAAAGTTTTTTTTTTTTTTTTTTTTTTTTTTGTGATAAGATTGTCCATTACAAAGTTGACACAATTCTAAAAAGATCTATTTAAAAGCATCGACACTTACTACATTATTCTTTAGGACATGAATAATATCTTCAGCAATCCATAATCTGCTGCGCTTTTTTTGTTTTTCAAATTCTTGACGAACAATTTCCCAACCCATTTCTTGCACCATGCCATGCATTTGAAGCTCATTGCTATGAAGATCTATCGTTATGAGAGACTTATCAATGAGACTATGTATTCTCGTACTCGCAAAAAAATCACAGGCATTCAATATGTTTTCTTCAAAATCTCTAAGCATCCCTTTGAAAAAACAAGCAATGTCAAGAAAGATATTTTTCTCATCTTTCGATCTAGTCCCTCGTAACTTATTTTTAACACCTCATAAACATCTGCATGGGAAGACTTTTGAAATCTCTTCAAGGTGATCATTTCCCATGTTCCTATGCTCAATTCACGAAGGGAACGAAGCTCAGAAAGCCAAAACTTTTATAGCTAAAGGAATGCGTCCAGTGTAATCCACTGCCTGTTTTGATAGCTTTGTGTAAGAGATTCCTCATCATTCAACTGCTCAACCTGGTATACACATTTTGGACATCATTGTTATCTTTTTGCCTATCTTTAATTTTCCTAAGCACCTTTAGATCTCTTGTTGTTTTGAGAATTCTACTTCCACAAGCAAAGAGATTACCATCGCCAACTAAATGCTCTAACTGCTTTGATTTACTATTACATCGTCCAAAACAATAAGAACCATTGTACATTTGAGCCTCCTTTTGTAATATCTCTAATCCCCTGACATTTTTGAGAAAGCAGCAACTTTCAAAGTGAGAAAAGATTTGACCGTATACTACATATACCACGTTAAGTAAAATAAAGTAAAATTATACTAAAACAAAATCAAACTATAATAAACTAAATTAAAATAGAAAAAATTAAACTAAAAAGACATTAAAATCTCAAGATTCTAGCCAATTTAAATGCACAAAAAGTGGTGAAATATCTCTATGTTGTAGAGTTATCAATAGCGCTCCGAAGCACTCCTCATTTTACTGATAACGAAACGACAATCAGATAAATTCTAGTGGTTAAAAACAATTCTAAAGCCACCATATCTATTTCGGAATATTGATTATTTTGTAAAGATATGAGAATGGAACCATCACTTTAATTAACTTGTCTTGGACTTTTTCATAATCTTGAGGTTGATCGATGAAAGCTATAGCTGTCTATATAGAGTCATTTATTCCTCTTGGCAGTTGGTTTCTACTTCATGAAGATTACTCTAATGATACACCTGGTTTTTTTTATTAGTAATTTAGTGAAACTTAATCCCACTTAAAGGGGAATATTTTTTTTTTTTTTTAAATCCTATAGTGAAATAGTTGTACTCCAGATAAAAGTACTGCAAACAAAACTAGTAATTAATAGCCCGAATTTCTTGAAATTAGTATCTTGATTGGTATATGATCCAATTAAAAAATAAGTTTTATAGACAGTAGTTTTGATTGCGTTTTTTTTTTTTTTTTTTTTTGAGGGATTGGTTACTCATTTTTAAATCACTTGGAAAGTTTCTAGCAAAAAAGTCACTTGGAATTTTGATGTTAAAATACAAAATGAATTGGCACATTTTCTCCATCCAACAAGTCAAAGACTTCAACTTTAAACCTGACTTAAATACAATGACAAACGATCTAATTTGGCTTATGAAAAATGATTCAGTGCTGAATAGTGAAGTATGGCAGGCAATTTACTATTAACAGCAGCAGGTGAAATCTGGTCTTCCTCTGAAGTCTCAGAAGATCATCTCTTTCTGCATTTTTGTAAGTTTCCAAGCATTATTGTTAAAGCTAAAATGGAATAAAATAAGCGAAAATTTGACTTCAGAACATACTTCAATATTTTCGGCATAACTTTGTCATTTGAAGTCCAAAAAAAGTGATCTTTGTGGCGTTAGAAAAATAAGAGATAGAGTTACAAATTTTATGAAGACACCAAATGCTAATTCGGCCATATAGAAGGTGAAAACCCTCCTCAAAGTCAGAAACCCGTTGCAGCGAATTAGACAATTTGGGGTTAAAAGAACCCGCTGCAGGGGAAAAACACCCACTGTAGCGGGTTTGCCTGTGCCACTAGGGTTTTTTAAAAAGTCTAATGGTGCTGCAGTGGATCAGAGGGAAATTGATCTACTGTAGCGCCAATACACGTAATGTTGTCATTTGACGGCTGATTTGAGGGAGATATAAAAGGCAAATGTTCTGAGAATCAAATTGGGAGAGGAAGAGAGGAAAAAGAGGCACAAAATCCCTAGAGAGGAATGAACTTTGGAGGCTCGAATCTCATCATTTCATTGAAGTTCCATGAAGAAGATGGTAGATTCAAGCTTAAAAGATATTCTTCCAACATAATTCTTCCTTCTCCCTTTATTTCCATTTTAGTTTTTTAGATTTTATTTTTTGTTATAGATTCCTCTATGTTGAGCTAGAATATTAGTTTAAGACTTATTGTAACCTTACTTGAACTATGTTTTGAATTTTTTCCCAAATGTTGGTTTGATTTCCATTTAATTCATTTGTGTTTCTCTATGTTTATTGCTCTAATTTTTATTTTCATGGATTAGAGATATAGACATGTGGATTTGGGCTCGGGAGTGTTACTTTCAAATGGTGAAATTGGAAAAACACAACCTAGAGTTAGTTGAGTTCGGGAGGCCAATTAATTCGGGTAATCAAAATTAGGTTGCTTAATGGATGCTTAATTTTGTTAGGCTAATAGGGATATTGTTTAACTGGGTTTTGCATACTATTTTGCTCGGCACTCTGGAGAGGGAGTGAAATTACTTTTGAAAACCTAAGTTAATGAATTGAGTAGAATTGGCTAGCATTGGCTTGATAAGATGAACATAGGAATAATAAGGTGAAGTTAAGTCCCTAGTATAATTGTGCACAAAAGTTTTCATATTTTATCTTGTTTAGTATTTGTATTTGTTCTAGTTCTATTTTTATTTCATTAAGATTCAATTGTCTAGATAAAGTTAAGATAAATAATTGTAATACTTAGTATCAATTTAACACCCAATCTCTGTGGAGATGATACTCACTCACTCTACACTATCAAAATTTGATACCGTATGCTTGCGGGCGAACAATAATATACCTTTTACTAAAAGTGGGGCTGAAACTATGTATTTTAGGAATCTCAGAGCAGTTAGATGTCTAAAACTAAATGCCAGGGGCCAAAATTGGACAAGTGCATATCCTTAGGGGCAAGTAGTGTAAATAACCCAAAAATTTGTTCAGATCCACTTGACTTGATTTTTTATTGGCATTTACAAGAAAACCAGGTTCGGATATTCAACAAAAGAAACACCACAATTGGAAAACCATTAATAGAAAAAAAAAAAAAAAAAGGGATAAATTGGATTTCAACATTCCAAATGATGACCTGATTATGCCAGATATTATGTTAACAACTAGACCACTCTTTGTGTCCTTGGATTGGTATGGAAAATACTACATTCCTAACCGTCTGACCCGCATTTTCTGCTAATTAAGAACTGCTCATTTCAAGTTTTTTTTTTTTTTTTCAAAAAAAAAAGAAAAAAAAAAGGAAAGAAATCCTTAATCCTTGTAGGATTAAGGCACATAAACTAAAACAGAAGTCAAGGAACAGAAAGCAACTTTACTCTCCAGGAATATCCCATTCTGTCTGAATTATTGGGATGTGCTGACCACCAAACTCTGCTTCAACTTACTTTGGCCACAGGCCCACTGAAATCCGGTCACCAAAAGTTGGAAACTTGCTCATATATCAAACAACTTATTCATACAGCTTAAAAGATTTGCGAGTCTTGTAGAGTCATCCAGAGACAATTTAGAAAGATTATCGAGACAATCAATTGATGAAGGCAATGATGTTATGCCACATGAACTTGAATCTAAAGACACCGGACTCCTAGTTATAGACATTGGAAGAGTGTTGAGGTTAAAACAACCATTGAGAGTAAGAGTTGTAAGATATGTCGCATCAAATATTGTACTGTCTCGAACACTCCGAAGCTTATTGCAATACCTCAGATTGAGATCAGTAAGTGCGTTAAGATTTTGCGGAAAATGAAATTCATGCAAACTGGTGCAAGACCCAAGATTTATTCTCTCAAGATTTGGAGCGCCGGAGAGATTTGGAGATTGAGTTAGGTGAATAGAGTGACTTAGATCAATACCTCTTAACTTGATAAGGTCCTGCAGCAAAAAGAAATGACTAGATTAACTAAAGTACTATGCTTTATTAATCAGGTTTAGTACAACAAATTGAAGGATATGTACCTGGACTCCGTCCCAAAGGTGCTCAAGCTGGCTATAGGGCATCTTTAGTTCAACAAGATTCACCGGATTAAATTTTGGTGGTAGAGATTTTAGGGGGTATCCATGCCACTCTAGATACCTAAGTGAATGAGGAAGATACTGGAGATCTTGAAGGCGCAATTTGTCTTTCTTCATGTAAGACGAGTCATGAATTTTGAGCAATCTCAAATTATGCATCTTTCTAAAACTGGTAGATTGCAAGTGCAGCTCGATCTCAATTTCGAATAAGTCCAGGAATATTCCCTGAATATTTTCAGTCCCCTGACAAAGAAGTATCAAATAGGATATGAAATAAAGTACTAAGGTGCTATATATAACACGTTTGGATATAAAGAATTCTATGATCATCATGATTAAATGCTAACAGAGTGTTCTATATCATGAAACATCTAAATTAACTATCAAATATCATTCTTTTTGCATTTGTGTTTGGTCATTAGAAAATCGATCAAATTCAAAAAATGCAATTACACTTACATCATTATTCTCTAGGACGTGAAAAATGTCTTGAGCAATCCATAATCTACTGCGCTCTCCACGTCTATTAGATTCTCGACAAACAATCTCTCGACCCTGTTCTTGCACTAAGCTGTCATGCATTTGGAGCTCATTACCACAAGGATCAGTAGTTATGAGAGACTTATCAATGAGAATATCTATCCCAATACTCGCAAAAAATTCACAACCATTCAGTACGTTTTCTACAAAATCTCTACGCATCCCTTTGAAGAAACATGCAATATCAAGAAAGATATTTTTCTCATTTTCCTCTAGTTCATCATAACTCATTTTAAACACCTTCCTAATATCAGCAGGGGGGCACTTTATAAATCTCTTCAATGCCATTTCCCATTTTTCTCTGTTTGGTTCGCGAAGGGAACGAAGGTCAGAACCCAAAGCTTTTATAGCTAAGGGATTGCCCCTAGTATAATACACCGCCTGTTCTGATAGGCCCGTAAAATCCGATGTTGGCGGCTTTCCTTTATTAAGAGCTGTCAAATTGAAAAGCTCAAGAGCTTCATTATAATTCAACTGCTCAACCTGATAGACATATGTTTCGATCTCATCAGCTTTAGTCCTGAGAACTTTTTGATCTCTTGTTGTTATTAGAATTCTACTTCCAGACGCAAAGAGACGATTACCATCACCGACTAAGTGTTCTATTTGCTCTGATTTACTTACATCATCCAAAACAATAAGAACCCTTGTACGTTTGAGCCTTCTATTAATGATATCTAACGAAGATGGAGTTTCCAAATCGACATTTTCTTCCTCTAATAACTTAGCAAAGAGCTTCTTTCGTAATTTCTCTAATCCCTCTTGTACTCTCTCTGATTCTTCCCTAACATTTTTGAGGAAGCAACAACTTTCGAAGTGAGAAAAGAATCGACCAAATACTGCATTCGCAATGGTTGTTTTCCCAATGCCACCCATTCCCCACAAGCCTATTATGCGGACATTTGGTGTCCCAATGCTTAATAGCAATTCAACTTGCTGAAAGTGTTTTTCCATTCCAATTAGGCCCTTCACAACATTAGCACTCGACGATACAGTACTACATAATTTTTTTAAAACATCTTCAACAACTTCGTCAACTAATTCGGAGTCGGGCCTGCATATAAGAAAGAAAGTTAATAAGTACTTGGAATAGAATAAATCAAAAGCTCTTATTATTATTATTATTATTATTATTATTATATAATGTAAATATAGTACAATTATATGGATATATATAATTTTCAATTCGGTTTTCAAGAAATAAAAGTTTAAAAATATAAATAAATAACGCTTTTCCTAAGAACTATTTCCATAAGCATCGAGGAATGCTTGTTGTAAAAGGGTTTATAAAAGCCAAAAAGCCTATTAAACTCAATAGGTTCAAAGGTAATTTTTGGATTAAATAAGTCAAAAACAACTTTTTTTTAAGTCATTGTAGCTATAAAGTCAACAACTCAATTCAAAAGCTTCCAGAAAAAAAGTTTGTGTGCCTATGTATTAGGTATATTATAGTTACTATGAGTAGAAAATACAAGTCAAAAGACAATTACCTAGTGACTTGTGAATCCCAACTAGATAAATCAGCCGATTCAGTTAAAGCAGCTCTCCACTCTTTCACTATTTCTATTCTGTTCTTAAAACGGACTTCGTGCTCTAGAAATGCCTTCTCATAACTTCCTTCTTGTTTCCTTATGTGGGATGGATCTACCTCATAAAAAATAGGTATTACCATCCGTTTGTTTTCTCTACGGCATTTAAGTATTTGCACGAGCTCACGTAAGCACCATGATGAAGAAGCATAACTTTTTGAAAAAATGATTATTGAAATCTTTGCCTTTTGAATTGCTTCTGGAATTGAAAGTGTGATATCGTCTCCCCTCTCAAGGCTTTCTTCATCAATATAAGTCTTAATCTTCTTTCGTTTTAAAGCAGCATAAAGATGGCTGGTAAAATTATTACGTGTGTCTTCACCTCTAAAACTGAGGAAGACATCGTATTTCTCAGAAATGGAGGAAGAAGAAGGAGAAACGCCATAAGCATCCATATGGGTATCTCTGCAAATTACTCCACAAAAAGTAGAACCTACAAGCAAAAGACTTCCTTTGCTTCTGTATTATTTAGAATGAAAGCACTGTTAGAGTCTTGATGTTTTCGAGATGGTAAACATTTATAAAAGTAAGGCTCAACCATGTCAACAAAAGAGCAAACGTAACGCTAGAGTAAATTACTTAGAATCGCTTGAGTTAAAAAAAAAAAAAAAAAAAAAAAAAAGGCAAATCTTAACGCTAGAGTAAATTGCTTAGAATCGCTTGAGTAACTTCCTTATTCGTTCTGATTTTAGGAAGAATGGCTATGTGTCCTTTTCGAAGGTGAAAAATAAGAATACTATTGCAAAAATTTAAGTTGTAATTTGACCGAATTATATAGTTCCTACCAAAAAGTTTATGATCTTTCCAAATGCACTTATGTTTATAATATGATCGTTAAATACCGATGGTTAAAACCCTTGTAACCATTCAAACTATATATATATATATATATGGGCGGCTCAAGGGCAAGACAATTAAGGCCATTAATGCCTAAGGCCCCTTAATGAGCCAAGGCCCTATCTTGCTGAATTCTTTGTTTTATTTTTATCTTTCTTTTTTTTTTTTAGAAAAGAATCTGACTGTATATTTTTTTTACTTCTATTGCAGTGAATCTTCTAAAATTTAATTGTGTTTTGGAAAAATAAAAGATTGTAATCAAGATAGAGCATAATCTCAAGAAATAGTATAATTGCTACTAGTATTTTGTGTATTATTGCCACATAATTTTCTTTATTTGAGATATTGATATTTCTATTTATTTTCTTCTAAACACTCAGATTTCTTCTCCTCTTAAAAGAAAAACAATCTCCAACAATACAACTTTTTCATTCCTGATTTCTCATTCCTTCCATCTCAATATTCATTCCAAAAAAAAATCATTCGAACAGTACAGGTTGAAGGTTTTTAGTTCATTATTTGAATAATTTTGCACTGGTTTTATTATTCTTAATTTTGTTTTTTAAGATTCATATCTTATTTTTATCTATTGTCTTCTTTAGATAGTAGTTTTGTTGTTTTGTCTAACATAACTAACGAATCTACTAATCTGAATATGAGGAATTTAAGAGAAAAAACTTAAGAACATAAAATTTTATTGAATCCTAGAGAGGAGTTCTTAATTAGTTTATAACTAGCAATAAAAAGATCCTATTATAAGTGAAAATAGTTAAAAAAAAAAAAAAAAAAAAAAAAAAAAAAAAAAAAAAAAAAAAAAAAAAAAACTCTTTACACAATTTCGCTTAAAGCCTGGAGTCACCTTGAGCCAGCCCTATATATATATATATATAATTATCAAGATAACTCAATACAAATATAAATAAATTAGACAATACAATACATGTATGAAAGCATTTTTTATATCCTTCCAAAATAGTCTCGTTTAGAAAAATAAAAGTGTTTTTTTAATGAAGAAAGCTGTTTTTTTTTTTTTTTAACTTAGTGCAAAGTGCAAATAAATGGGATAAATACTTCCCTTTTCCTGAAAGGGGCAAAAAAAAAAAAGTTGTATTGTTTATGCAAAAATTTCATGGTTACTTACAGAAAATCTAACAATGAAAGGATCATCAATTAGAAGAATTTTAAGGGGGAAAAAATATACCGAGCAAATGAACGTTATCTTCAAAGCAAAACCGATGATATCTATCTCAGAAGAAGGGTCTTCGCAGGAGTTTGAGGAGTCACCAAGGCTGAACAACTCCAGGAATCTCTCTTTTCGTGGCAACTTCGCATTTTGTTTTTTGATTCTGATTTCTCTGGAAAAACTTATAAAGTCAATACATCGATTTTAAAAGTCTTACTTCATGGCGTCTAAAGACCGATTTCTATAAGAATGACTTGACTTGAGGTGCAGTTGCTAACTTCGCATTTTGTTATTTCAAAGGCGTTACGTAGTACGTTGACTTTCTTTTTATTTTTTTTCTTTAGGTTTAAATTTTACCTTTCTAAATCGATAGACTTGACTTGTTCATTAGCAAAAAACAAAAAACAAAAACAAAAAAAGAAGACTCGGCTTGATCCAATTTTCTTTACAAGATATATATAGCATATCAGGATGAGCTTCACTTTTTAGTCTCAAATTGCGGAATTCACCTTTTATTAATAGGTGGTACTGTCTAATAGCATTGCTCCAATTATTGAGTACCAGAAAACAGTTTCTCACACTCAATGTAAACACGTTGACTTCCCTAATCCCACATCTACTTCAACACTCACGTGTCATGTTCCTTAACCAAAAATATTTCAGAGCAATATTGGAATTGGAAATGAATATTTATTTTAGTATTAAGAAAAAAAAAGTATCGTGTATAATAATTATTTGAGTATAGCACCAATACCACTTGCAGAGTTAATTTCAAGCATACCGCTTTTATGGAAAATTTCACAGGTGAAAACCTTGACTTTGTGACCATTTATTAAAGGGATTCAAACCAACACAAGGGCAAGAATTCCAGCAAATGGCTCTTAACATGCAAGAATGTAATGACTGAGAAAATTCCAGACTTTAAATAATACAATTTATTTATTTAAGCCAAGGATTTTCCTAGAAAATATTATGTGACTGAAGGATTTATGGAATCAATATATGTATTCCTAAATTCTGTAGCAGATTTCATGTTAAGTTCATGTTTTCGATCAAGTAAATTCGATCGATAAATTCTTGCCGTACTTTAAGGCGGAATAATTTTCAGTACAAGTATAGTTTGAGAATCTTAATTTCAAGAATCTCCAAACACAGCATGATGTTAGCAGCGTAAAAAAAAAACGCACTGACATTTTTAAAAAAGAGAAAATCCTTAATTGCCAGACAGCTAGGTTAAAGTCACAAGATAGATACCTATAGTAGAAGGGTACAATGTGAGCTAAGGAGTTGACACCGTCAGAAATAATGTCACTCCCGGGATATAATGCAGAAAAGTTAAATTTAGAATTTATTCAGTCTAGAATTAATTTCAAGACTTGAAACAGTTTAAGATATTACGCGAGTAAGAATTTAACGTGATATCAAAGCAGACGAGGATTTAAAAGTTGAACTGTAAATAAGTAGTAGAAAAAAAAAAAGAGAACTGTCAGAAACAAGAATTTTTTTGTCAGCTAAGTACCCTTTACAGTCAGTATGATTTTTACCTGATTCAAAGGTAACTTAAGAGAGTGGACTAAAGTACAAGGGGTAGGATTTATTTTTCTCTCTCTCCTTCTCCACTTTGGCCGACCATGCATAGAAAAATTAGAGCCAAAATTGGCTAGTTGTAAGTACAAGTTAAAAAGTTAGTAACAGTGGCGGCCTCATAGGAGGGTCGTCACAAAGAAACTGCCGGAACACTTCACTAGAAAGCCAACATCATACCTAATTAAGTTAGAACTTCAGTAAAAGGGTAATATAGATGACATCGTCGTCGTTGAAATTCTCAAGTCATTTTCGGATTAAAATTCTTTCCGTCTTAAATTTGTGAGAATTATCAATCGAACTATTTGATCATAAAAAGTGAATTTACCTTAAAACTTACTATAGAATTTTAGAATATTAATATTAGTTCCATAAATCATTTATTCACGCAATCAAACATGATATTTTCTAGGAAAATTTTGATTTAAATATTTAAATTACATTATTTAATTTTAGGATTTTCTTGATCATTACAATTATCCTCTCAAATTCTTCGAGACGTAAGTTAGGACGCACCTAGCAACCCGTTGTGTCAAATTGTCTCGGCCAATAACCCGAGCCGGGATCGGGTTTGATGGTTCAGGCTCATCGAGAGTTGCAGCTGCTTTGTTTCTGCCTTCTTCTGTTACAAAAGCCATGGCACTTAAAAGAAAGCAATTTTAATCTTCACCAATATATTATCCTTTTTTTGGTTCTAATTGATCAAAAATTGGGAAGACTATCAAACGCAGCTCCAACTTGCTTTTGCCTCATGAGTCCAATAAGAGGAGTTAGCTAGATTTTCTCTCGCCATTTTCACCATTCACAAAATTCGAATTGAATTTCTCTAAATCTTCGCGATAGAGAACATGGATCCCGCACTTTTTCACACTACACTTTGGAGGCATCATGTGTCCGATGACTAAAAAGTCAAATGATACCCTCACTTCATCAGCAGTAAAATAATATTCACTATAGTCTTCATGTTGATACCACATGAACACATGATCCGACGTTGATCCAAAACAATAGTGAGAGGGATTGTCTACCCATCTAGTGTACTTGTGGTTTTCCCCCTGGTTGGTTTTTAGATTTAAATAACATCTTAAATCCAACATATCAGTACTGTCGACCACAGCACAGAGCACAAAACCCAAGAAGTTGTCATCCCGAAGCATGATCTCAATCCGACATCCCTTCGATTGAAGATCGAACCACTTTGGAATTGTATTTCCAGGATAACACGTACGAACTTTAAGATTCCTTCCCTATATCATAGAAAAAGAGCGGAGTTATTTATCTCCATAACATAAATAATTAGGTGGCTTTTTTTTTTGGTATAACAATAAAAGAACTTGGGCATACCTGATGTTCTGGGCTTCGAAACCGTGTAGCCACGTGCAAAACTCGACGCAGGAATTCAGTTATTATATTGTGCCGTGCTTCTGGGCCCAATTTCAAGCAATTATAGAATATTGAAATATTCTGTGTAACAAGATAATTATTCTGAAACTCTTGTGTGAGCGCTCTTTCTGAAAATGACACCACCTCCAACAATGTGCATCCCCATGCATTAAGATATTCCAGACTCAACAGAAGCACTTGTATAGAGCGAAGATTATGGCAATTGATTAAGTCGAGCGTTCTCAGCTTAGAAGCACAATTGATGCTTTCAGGGATTTCCTCTATTTTAGTTCTCATCGCTGTGAATGACTGAAGCCCAATTAGATTTTCAAATAATGACGAGGGAAGCTTTCTAATCTCTGTATCCGTTATACAAAGATCAGTTAAGCTTTCCATTGGTTCAGAGATATCTGGAAGGTTCTTCAGCTTTCTGCACCCATAGAGAGAAAGATAACCAAGAAACCTCAACTTGAAAATGCTAGGCGGTAAACTCTCAAGACTACTGCAACATGATACGTCAAGTATCCTAAGTTTAAGATCCATAATTGATGGGAAGTCCACTTCTTTTATTGCCGTCCAACCAATATTCAACTCCTCAATATTACTTGGAAGCTCTGGAAACTTCTCGAGATTTGCGCAGCCACTTAATCGAAGAATTTTCAGGGAGTTCAGGTTATTCACCCCGCTTAGACTTACAAGTCCTTTGCAGTAAGTGAGATCCAATTCAGAAAGATTCGGGAGAGAATCATTAGATAAAGTCAAGTCCTTTATTGCAGTTGACCTTAAATTTAAAGACACCAGACTCCTAGTTGTAATCAGCAGTGGAAGAGTGTTGAGATTGGAACAACCTCCGAGAAGAAGAGTTCTCAGAGATGTCGCATTAAGTATTATATCTGGAACACTCTGTAGCTTGTTGCATCCGTTCAGGTTGACATCAATAAGGTTGTTAAGATTCTTCTGAATCTGTGAATAAGGGACTTCACGCAAACTTCCGCAACACGCCAGATTTATCCTCTCAAGGTCTGGAGAAGTAGAGACGTCTGGAATTCGAGTCAGGTTAGGAGAGCAACTTAGATCGATGCCTCTTAACTTCTTAAGAACCTGCAACATAAAGAAATGACAACATAACGAGATCATACTTTATAAACTGAGTTTAATAAAGCAATTGAAGGTATATATATATACCTGGCCTCCGTAGCAAAGTTGCTTAAGTTGACTACCACCCATCTTCAGTTCAACAAGATTTTTCGGCTTAAAGTTTGGTGGTAAAGATTCCAAAGAATAATTACACCACTCAAGATATCTAAGCGAATTGGGAAGATACTGTAGACCATGTTCAAAATGAAGACCATGTTCAAAATGAATAATGGAAAAATAATGGATTTTGAGCAATCTCAAATTACGCATTTTCTCAAAAATAGTAGGTTCCAAGTGTATGTCTTGGTCAGCTCCGTAATCATTTAGGAATATTCCTTGAATATTTGCAGTCCCCTGGCAAAAAAAAAAAAAAAGAGTATTAAAGCATATATCAACATATAGATAAATTACGAAAGTGCTACTACACGTTTAGATATAAAGAAATTAATGATCATCATAAAATAATTATTGACGAAATGTCACATATCAACGAAACATCATCTAAATGAACTTTATATCATTTTTTCAGGTCTAATTTTTTCTCATTAGAAAGTTGACACAATTCTAAAATGATCCATTTAAAAGTATCGACACTTACTAAATTATTCTCTAGGACATGAATAATATCTTCAGCAATCCATAATCTACTGCGCTCTTCTTTTTTTTCAGATTCTTGACAAACAATTTCCTGACCCATTTCTTGCACTAAGTCATGCATTTGAAGCTTGTTACCTTTAGGATCAATAGTTATAAGAGACTTATCCATGAGATTATCTATCCCTGTACTTGCAGAAAAATTACAAGCATTCAATATGTTTTCTACAAACTCTCTGCCCATCCCTTTGAAGAAACATGCAATATCAAGAAAGATATTTTTCGCATCTTTCTCTAGTCCCTCATAACTTATTTTTAACACCTCATGAATATCAGCAGGAGGGTACTTTTTAAATCTATTCAAGGTCATTTCCCATTTTTCGATGTTCTGTTCACCAAGGCAACGAAGCTCAGAACCCAGAACTTTAATAGCTAACGGAATGCGTCCAGCATAATACACTGCATGTTTTGATACTTCTGTGTAATCTGATGTCGGAGGCTTTCCTTCATCAAAAGCTGTCAAATTAAAAAGATCAAGAGCTTCACTATCATTCAACTGCTCAACCTTGTATATATGTGTTTCAATCTCAGCACCGCCTTTAATTGTCCGGAGCACCTTTCGATCCCTTGTTGTTATGAGAATCCTACTTCCAGAGGCAAACTGGTCACCGTCACCAACTAAATGTTCTAACTGCATTGATCTACTTACATCATCCAAAACAATAAGAACCCTTGTACCCTTGAGCCTCCTTTTGACGATTTCTAACGACGATGGCGTTTCCAAATTAACGTTTTTCTCCCCTAACAATTTCTCAATGAGCATCTTTCGTAATTTCTCCAGTCCATCATGTACTTTCTTTGATTCTTCCCTAACATTTTTTAGAAAGCAACAACTTTCAAACTGAGAAAAGAACTGACCATATACTGCATTGGCAAGGGTTGATTTCCCTATGCCACCCATTCCCCACAAGCCTATTATTCGAACATTTGGTGACCCAATGCTTAATAGCAATTGAAGTTGCTGAAAGTGCTTTTGCATTCCAATTAGGCCCTTCAAACCATCATCACTTGACGATAGTACAGTACCACACAATTTCTTCAAAACATCTTTAACAACTTCGTCAACTAATTTGGTGTCAGGCCTGTATATAAGAAAGAAAGTTAGTAGTTGCGAGGAATCAATTTTCATTAAAAAAAAATGTATGTAATAGACTTATCAAAGTCCTTTCTATTTCTTTTTTTTGTTTTTTTTTTTTTTGTATGTAATAGACTTATCAAAGTCCTTTCTATTTCTTTTTTTTGTTTTTTGTTTTTTTTGTTTTTTGGCTTGGAAGCAAAGACGTTCCAGTTCTAATGCTTGAAACAATAGTCTGGAATCTTAATTGTGGTCTAACTTAGGCATGTTTTCATTCGTTCTTTGATCCACTTTTTATCCGAACCAAAAGAAGCCCTGTATTGCACGAAATTCTCACAAATGTATCTAAGCTAATAAGAAGTAATTTTCAAAAAAAATTGCATCATATTAGTTGCATTTTATTATTTTAGTCATGATATAAGTATTATTTGATATTTCAATTAGTATTGTTTCTATAAAAACTGAGAGTATTTTTTAAGTTTTTGTTTAATTGCAGTGAAGAGTTGGGTGTCCTACTTTGTGGAACTAGTGTGCTATAAGTGATTGAGAAAGATATGATTTTATTAATTGTCAAACTATTGGATGATTTAAAAGGCGGACCCAGTGTCAAAGAGGCTCCCGTACTATGACAGATTTGGGAGAAATGTCAATCTCATATGTACACGGCCTTACCTCTCAAAGTAGAGGCCGTTTCCGGAATTCCAACATTGGACCCCGGGTGCAAATGCAAGCGCTCCCCCGGGTGCAAATTACTAGATGATTTGCTATAATTTATTTTATTTTGGTGTTTTTTTTTTAAATTGTCAAACTTAGAATTTAGTACTTCTTTGAAATATTTTTGTGCAAATTGTGGTGTTTATGGAAATTAGTACATCTAATTGGGATACTATTAGAATATTACAAAGTTTTATCATATTAACTAATGACTCAGCCACCGACCACCGTTTAAAACCACCAATTTTTTACTCCTCAGCAGCTTATGACCAGAAAAGAAAATCTCTACTCAAACTTCTTCTCCTCTCTCCAAAGTAGAAGACATAAGAGTAAGGGTTTGAGCTAGAAAATTCGGACCTAAGAGAAACCTCCTAGAAAACCTTGATTTTTCTTGACAAATTCTAAGTTTAAACCCAAATTTAAGAGGCCAACTTGTACAGCAGTCAAGGTAAGGTGTTCTTCTTGTATTAGAAGGGTTTTTTCATGCTTTTGATGAAGTTTTTATGGGTTATGTCTTTATGGGCTGATTAGAGATGTCTTTGTAAATAGGCATACTTTTTGTTGATTAGTGTGGGTTAATGTTGAATTGAGTGTCAATGTGTGTTTCTCTTGCTTTGGTTTGATTTAAGGCATGATTTGGAGGAGTTTTGTTTCCTTTTTTCTCTGCTCAAACGTGTTTTAGTGAGGCGTAGGCAATGTGCTTGATGAAATGCTTGGCTGAAATTGGTTATGACTGTTTAAATACCACTGATTTCGAGCACAATATCTCTTAGAATAACTTTTATTGTTTGAAGCTGAAATTTTGGGTATTGAACCTAGACATGTTGAGCTTGTTGTGATCAAAATTACCTAAATATCCTTAAAAAAAAAAAGAGGTCGGAACTTTCAAAATTTGGGAAAAATTGATTTAAAATAACACCATTTTGAGGACATTTCGGGTATTTTTTGGGTCAAAATGGTAGGTTTAAAGTCTTTTATTTAGTTGTTTTTTTTTTTTTTTTCATTTTTCTGTTTGAGGGTACTATTGGTATTTTTGGAGTCAAAATCAGGATTAACCTTGGAAAGTTATAGATTTATGTACTAAATTTAATTTAAATATATACATTTGATTAGATGAAAAATTGAAGATATAACTTTTTAATAAGCTTAAAATCAGTGTACAAAAACGTAAATATCCCAAATATATACTATTGTTATGTAATATGAGTAGTAGGGGGGTACTTTTGTTATTTAAAAAATATCTAATGGTAAAAATACACTTTCTCGCCAAATTTAATAAACGTGTCTTTGTAGTTTTTCTAAAAACTCAAAGAGTGTACAAGTGGAATATTTTGGTCAGTGGGATATCTGTAATTTAGGGAAAAAAATGATTGTAGATCTCTAAAGAACAAAAGAGATTCAAACGCTTCTAGCAAAAAACTTGTGTGCGTATTATTTTATTACGTTTATATAGATATTGTCAGCAGGAGACAGAAGTGAAAAGACAAATACCTGGTGACTCGTGAATCCCATCCAGATCGATTAGCCGATTCAGTTAAAGCAAGTCTCCATTTTTCAACCATTTTCAAATTATCCTTGAAACAATTTTCATGCTCTATAAACGACTTCTCATAACTTCCTTTTTGTTTCCGTATATCAGATGGATCTACCCCGTAGAAAATAGGTATTACCATCTGTTTCTTTTCTGCATGACATTTAAGTATATGCTCGAGCTCACGTAAGCACCATGACGAAGAAGCATAATCTTTCGAAAAAATGATTATCGCGATCTCTGACTTCTGGATTGCTTCAGGAAGTGCGAGATGGATTTTATCTCCTCTCTCAAGGCTTACTTCGTCGATGTAGGTCTTGATTTGGTTTCGTCTCAAAGCAGCATAAAGATGACTTGTGAAATTATCGCGCGTGTCTTCACCTCTAAAGTTGAGAAAGACATCGTATTTCTCACAAATGGAGGAGGAAGAAGAAGGAGAAGGAGAAGGAGAAACAACATACGCATCCATATCGACAAACAGAATGAAAGCTCTCTTAGAGTCTTGACGCCTTTGAGAAGGCAAAGTTTTATAAAAGCAAAGACTCGAGCTAGGGAAGAAGTTTCGGACACACCAACTAGACCGGAAAATATGAAATTGATGTGGAATTGCTTGAGCATTTTCCTAGTGCGTTGTGCTTTTAGGAAGAAGACAAACAAGTCAACATTATGGATGCATTGATTTATTATTGCAAAGGACAAAAGAGAGAAATGATGATTCGTAAAAATAATAATAATAATAAAAAATATTAAATTTTAAGTTTAACCATCAACTCTATTATATATTTACGTCATTTTAAATGATATATAATTGTGGTATTTTATTTTATTTTTTAATTGAATGACATTTATTAATTTTTTAATAAAATGATATAAATATTATTTTTTACTATCTTGACAGTATCACGCGCGTGGAGTGCATGTATTATACCATTTAAGTGTTGATGGTCTAAATGTTATTGGTGTTTGTGACTTTCTAAAGGAATATAACAAATAAAATAATGAGAGTCTACTGTATTTCTTTTAATAGGTAAATTTTTTTTAAGACTCTTTTTTAGATACTACCCTATTTATTTGATATACATAATTTTAACTTTATTAAACAATTACACTTTACAATAATCACCTTTTTCAAACAACATTTACAAGAATGCCACCATTCTTTTTTCAGCTTAAAAAAAATTACTTTTAGGAAGAGGCTACAGTACCGTAAGCCATTTTTATGGTATCTGTATCAGATTTTTTTTCAACCGTTAGATACAAAGATCATCGGTCTCATATCGTGTTCTCATAGAAGCAAAAATAGACAGACCCACACCTATAACAACCATTTCTAACCTTATAATTCAAACAAAAAAGCCAAAAAAAAAAAAAAAAGGGATGGATCTCGCCGGGATTTCGACCCAGCTCGCGCCCAATTGCTTTCAAAAAAGCCGAAAAAAGGGCTGAACACGTGTAGTTAGCTTCCATCCCCACCCACTCATTCTTTATCCGAGCAGAAATTCTCTTTCTCGGCTTTGTTTTTGTATTTCTTAGACCTAATTTATTTTAACTAATTAAATTTAATATTTGAATTTTATTACAGTAAACAAATTTTAAAAACAATTAAATTAAATATTTTTATTATAATAAAAAATTTTCACATAAAATTATATCTCAATTCAAATTAAAAATTTAAATTAGTATATTAAACGGATCTTATAAAATGAGAAAGCTCTCTAGTTTTGAGGATTTTGAGAAGGCAGAGAATCATATTTAGCACGACTTGTCATAAGTTGAGAAATTTCTTCTTGCCTTCCAACTGTTGGGAAGACTAATGTGTGAACGTTTGTCATGTAGGGCCGACATATTTCCAACTAACGCGTTTGTTTACAAAACGAACATACCGCGTGAATATTAATTATCGCAAAAAAAAAAAAAAAAAAAAAAAAAAAAAAAAAAAACCGCGGAAATAACACAAACCAGAGTTACCTGAAAATCTGAAAAAAAAAAATACCGCGTGAATATTATGTGCTTAATTTCCTGACAAATTTCATGGAATTTGAAGATAAAAAAACGTTGACGTTATATTGTTTTATTATTTCATCAAAGATCAAAAGTTAGGTGTTATATACACTAGCAATAAAAAGTAAACGAATTTAAAAAAGTGATTGAAACAGACTTTAAGGTTATAAAAAAAAAAAAAAAAAAAACACTCTGGGTGTGAAATCTTCTTACGAACTCCCAAGCTTTCTCAAATTTAAACGAATTGTTCGAAATTATAAAAGTGATTGAAACAGACTAGAGAGAGAGTGATCTGTGGACACGGAGTCCGAACTCCCAATGCTAATGCTAATGCTAATTTGGAAAACGATAATAAAAGAAACAAGCGACATCAGAAAAACAACAATAACAACAACATTATAAAATAACACGAAAACAAAACCCACTAAAAGAAAATAAGAAAGGACAACATTATAAACGAGCGCAAAAAGAACGATAACGATATGGAAAACTTAACATGGTTAAAAAAAAAACCCATAAAAACGATAATTGGAAACGAAAACGTTACAAAAATTCATAAAAACGACAACAAAGAAAATACGAGATAAAACGTTTGGTTGTTAATAAACAAAATGACTGTCACGTGCCAACGACACATGCATCGAACGACAAATATGAATGGGCAACTCTTCATATGTTGTTCAATAGAAATAAGAAATCTCAATTTTTCATACTTTTTTAATCGTCTAATTGTTTTAAAATGAGTCTATTAGTCCTTCAAAATATTTGTACTAGTCATATTTTTTATCCTACTGTAATTATCAGATGATAATTACCCTAACATTTCTAAAATATACAGTTTTGAGGTTGATCTAAGGTTGATCCAAAACAATAGTGAGAGGGATTGTCAACCTACCTAATGTACAATAAAATAGTCAAAATGTACAATAATTAACAGTTACCAAGCGCCCACAGCCACAGAAAAGAACTGCCCCATTACCTCCCATAGGTAACTAATTAAAGTAATCAAAACTCCAACAAGAAAAAAGTATATAACTATACTTTTTCAAAATTCCATAAACTTATTAACTTTTGTTATTTTTGCCTTTTTTCTTTGGTTGCAGGATTCTGGACAGGTTTTCTTTTTTTTTTTTTTTTTTTTTTTACCTCTTTTTTCCTTTTATAAGGTAGCATTTAAATAGAATACGAAATGATCTAATTTGGTTTATGAAAATCGGTGCCGATCGAACAATGAAGCTGCATCCAATTGAATACCAGTAGCAGCAGCAACAGCAGGTGAAACCTGGTTTTCCAATATGAGCGGCGAAGAAGAAGAGAAACCGTTTATCTGTTAATTTTACTCTCTTCATTTTTCCTTTTTTTTTTTTGGGTGTTTACGTGTTTCCGATCTTTATTTTTCCGATCTTCATAATGCATCACTCCTCCAAAAGGAGCTTGTTAAAAATATATATGGAAGCATATATATATATATAGCCAAAGCAACTAAAGAAACTAGAAGAGATAATTCCTATTTCAAAATATATCCTAATATAACTATAATTATATCCTTAAATAAGTTTCAAATAAAAGATATAGATAATAAAGATAAAAGTAGATAAATATAAAACTCCTAATTCTAATCTTATACGGCTGCATCATATTGGTACTTAAATTTTCACAATTATGACAAAGTTCAATTGAAACCACGACCAACGTGATATAAATATAAAGAAATTAATACGATGTATTCAATTTCCTAGCTCCAGAACAAAAGTTATGTTGCCCTACTCTTAAACATAATCAGCACATGGGCGCATTCGATGATATTAATATATAACCTTAAAATAAAATTAAAAAAAAAAGAACAAATATAGAAATTAACTAAACGATTAGGAGAGATAAGCGACTAAAATATATAGAAACCCATATAATATATATGTTTCTATCACTAGTTCTTGAATGAGGAGACTTGAAGAATCATGCATGATGGGGACTTGAAGCGCTTAATTTAATTAAGGAGGTCCACGTTACCGTTCAGAAAGTGGAGTTACAATAGAAGAAGATGTGGCATAGGCATAAATATATATATATATATATATATGTGTGTGTGTATATATAGTGTGACGACCTTACTTGGAGGCTACCACTGTAGCTGAATTTTAACTTGTACTTACTGAGATTTCGTAAAATTTGCAGAACATTTGTTTTTTTTTTAAATGCTATTTAGAATGCTGCAGCATTCTTTTAAAATAAAAAATAAAAAAAATAAAAAAAACACTGTAGAAATGCTGTAGCATTCTTTTTAAAATGCTTTAGGAATACTATAGCAATTCTTTTTTTTTTAAATGCTGTAGCATTCTTTTTAAAATGCTTTAGGAATGATGCAGCATTCTTTTAAAATGCTATAGGAATGTTGTAGCATTCTCTCTTTCTTTTCTTTTTAAACTTACTATAACGACATATATTCTGGCAGTTTACACAAACTTAGCATTATACTACAAACTTCTAAAAATACAAGTTTATAGACATACTTATCAAAATCTTTTAAAACTTTAACTACTGCGGAAAGTGACTGCGTGAGCAGTATCCATTCACATCTCCACCATTCATCTGCCGCTCGTCATTGCCCTTCAAGAATTGCTGATAGGTTTCTTACCTACAGCATGAACATATCTGATTGAGCTTTCACTCAGCAAGTAGGAACTATCTCTCGCAAAATAACTGTAACTACACATGAATAAATATGCATGAGCTGATTATGCTTAATTATGATGTCTTATCATCTTATCTTATCTTTCTTTCTTACTGATGGGCCCGAGTGTTCGTACCACTTGCGCGCAATCATCGGGACGTGAGGGTTTGCAAGGTCCCCCATGACACCGTGATTATAACTAAACTGAATGTCTCCCTCTCAGAGGACATTATTATTTTTTTTTTCTTCTCCCTTGGGAGCCTGAGTCACCTCCCTCTCAGAGGCTGGTACGGCACTCAATTGATATTATTCTTATAAGTTCTACTTTACTTTTTAAGGTGTATGCAATATGACATAGCATAGCATACTATAACATGAAATGTACTCAAACACGTATAGTTCATGTGCACTACTTAAGTGTATGCAGTATGATCTAGCATAGCATACATAACATTAAATTAATTCAAACACATGTAATTCATGTGCACTGTTTATGTGTATGCAGCATGACATAGCATCGCATATAATACTTAAAGCATAAACATGCATATATAACATGTGTAACTTTTTCTTTCAATCTATTCATACTGTAGGTGAGATTCCTACTTACTTGATTTACAGAGCTAGAATTCACTTTTTGCCAAATCGCCTCTTCTCTTCCTTGCTTACTTATGAAAATGAACAGCCATTAAGAGTGTGAGATTAACTGTCGTTTGCTATTCTATTTTAGCAACTTATGAAGGAAATATAGCCCTTTACTTAAGGCATGTATTCCTTTCCTTTACTGAAGGATAATTTACTATAAGGATCAATTTATTAAATCCTCAAAATCTTATTTTCCTTAATTGCCCTTAACATACCTATGTCTAGATTGAAAATTATTTACCCAATCTAGTAACTTATTCTTCATAATTTTCC